GGGATCTGGGCCAGCTCGCGGATCGTCTGGATCGAGTGGCCGTCGTGCACTTTGAGGCCGTCGAACTGCAGCTGCGGCTTCTCGTAGCTCTTGTGGCGCTGCGTGCTGCCCTTGACCTCCTCGGCCGAGGCGGCAAAGCGCTGCGCCGCCAGCAGTCCGCGCGCGCCGGCGCCCTCGCCGCCGTCGTCTTCGTCGTCGTCGTCGTCGTCGTCAAAGAGGGCCGCCTCGTCGGTGTGCGACTGCGACGTCATCTCCATGGCGGCGTGCTGGCGCGCCAGGCTCTGGAGCTTCTTGACGTGCACGTCGTCCGAGTTTTCAGCGAGCCAGGAAATGACGTCGACGTCGCGCTTCCAGTAGATCGAGAGCGCGTTGGCGTCGGTGTCGTAGTCGTGATGCTCGATGGGCATCTGGTCGACGTGGACGCGCTTCTCGACGCCAAACTCGGGCACGACGACGTCAAACGCGGCGTCGAGCACGCCAATGACGGTGGCCGTGCGGACGACGGGACCGTAGCGCATGGTGAGGTCGTGGATCAGCAGGCAGAGGAAGAGGTGGGCGCTCTGCTCCTGGGCCGCCTTGGCGGCGTCCTTCTTGACGTTGCACTGCTGCGCGATCTTGGCCATGGCCTCGCGGTCGACGCCAAACTTGTCCTGCTTGGCCAGCACCGCCTCGAGCTGGCGGTGCACCATCAGGTCGGCGTACCGGCGGATGGGCGAGGTGAAGTGCGTGTAGAGCGCCACGTTGAGCGCGTAGTGCTGGTACTTTGCGATGTCGACCATGCCAGTGCAGAAGTACTTGGCGCGCAGCATGGCCTTGGTGACGAGCGTCTCGAGCGCCACGCGCGTCTTGTCGTCGTCAATCTGCTGCAGGCTCTTGTAGAGGCCGCCGGCGGTGGACACGTCGATGTCGTAGCCCATCGACTTGGCGCGGCGCAGGAAGCCGTCGAGGCGGCGGTCGAGCGGACGCTCGTGGCGGCGCAGCAGCGCCACGTCCGGCAGGCCCGCCGCGATCTGCGAGGCCACGTCCATGTTGGCCTGCAGCATAAACTCCTCGATCAGCTGGTGGGCGTCGTAGGTCTTGTAGACGCTGGCGTCCATCGGCAGGCCGTTGTCGTCGAGGCGGAAGCTGAGCTTGACGTTGTTGATCTTGAGCGCGCCGCCCTCGAAGCGGCGGGCGCGCATCTTCTTGGCGAGCGCGTCGAGCAGCTTGATGTCGGCGGCCACGTCCGAGACGGCGTGGTCGCGGTTGACCTTGCCGTCGGGCAGCTCGCCGCCCTCGATGACGCGCTGGGCGTCCGAGTAGGCCAGCTTGGCGCAGCTGCGGATGATCGTCTTGCCAAACCAGCGCCCGATGACGCGCGCGTCCTCGTTCATGGTGAAGACGGCCGAAAAGGCGAGGCGCTCGACGTCGGGCACCAGCGAGCAGAGCTCCTCGCACAGTGTGGGCGGCAGCATGGGGATGGCGCGCTGGACGAGGTAGACCGAGGTGCCGCGCTTGCGCGCCTCGCGGTCGAGGGCCGATCCGAGCTTGACAAAGTGCGACACGTCGGCGATGTGGACGCCCACCTCGTACAGGCCGCCGTCGAGCTTGGTGATGCTGAGGGCGTCGTCGAGGTCCTTGGCAGTCTCGGGGTCGATGGTAAAGACGCGGTGAGCGCGGAAGTCGCGGCGCGACTCGAGCTCCTTGTCGGGGATGCTCCAGGGCAGCGGCGGAAGGCACTTGAGCGCGTTGTCGCCAAACTCTTCGGTCGCCGAGCTGAGGCTGTCCTTGAGCAGCGCCTGGGTCTCGGCCTCGACGTTGCCAATGACGCCAATCTCCTCGACCAGCGTGCCGAACGGGTGGAGCGAGGTGATGGGCCAGCGCTTGATGCAGGCGACAAAGAGGCGGTTGTTGTAGCTCTCCTGTCCGCCGTCTTCCCAAAAGTCGCGCGGCGCCTGGTCGGCGGGGATGGCGATCAGCGGCACGCGCTTGTCCGACGGGCGGAACCAGATGATCTTGGGCCGAGGCTGCACCACCTCGGGCAGCTGGCTCGGGTCGACGCCGTCGCGCTGGGCGCGCTCGGCCTGCTGCCGCTCCTGGGTGGCGGCCGACGAGGGGCGCTGGCGGCCCAGCGTGCCCGAAAACAGCTGGCCGGCGGCGCGCTCGACGATGG